GGACATAGCATGGAACGTCGTTTTCTTTTCCTTCTCTTTCTAATTTCTTTTGTTCTCAAAGAGTCTTTTTCAAAATGCCCATATAAAACAGATGTTAATGTTCTTATTTTTGGTGCTGGTACGGCTGGAGTGACAGCAGCTAGGGTCCTCTACGATCATAACTTAACCAGTTTTAAAGTGCTAGAGGCGCATGATAAAATTGGGGGCAGAATAAGAAATATTACTTTTAAAGGGGTTCAGATCGAGGTGGGTGCAAACTGGATCCACGAAGCACCAGCTAATACTGAGAGCAGAAGCCATAACGACAATCCAATATGGAGACTGGCTCGTGGTGATCACCTTTGCAGTGTTGATAAATTGCGTGGGGGTTTTACGGAAAGTTCAATTTTTATGGATTTTGATAATGAAACACAACGATATCAAGCTGTTAATACCAGTGAAATAGAGAATGACTATATTGCAAAGTACAAGGAAGCACTAAAAACTGCCGGAACTAACACTGTCAGGCAAGGACTGAATATGAAAGATTGGTATCCAGATTCCCCCTTGAAGCAATTGGTTGAATGGAGCGAGTTTGATTTCACATATACTGCAACTCCAAATGAATCCGTTGTGTCTTTAACTGCTGAAAATGATAATGTAACTTTTGGTGAAAAATGCTTTATAGTAACAGATCAACGAGGTTTTGCTTCAGTGCTACGATGCATGATAGCAAATTTTAGTCATCATCAGGATAAAGTATTAACAAATGCTAATGTGACTAGTATCGAGCTGTATGATGAGTGTGTATGTGCTGAGGTTATGGGGCAAGGCAGAATGTGTGGAGATTACGGTATAGTTACATTTTCTATTGGTGTACTACAAAAATGGATTAAAGACAATAAATTCAGAGGTAATTTGTCACTTAGTACTGAAAAAAAGAATGCTATTAATAAATCAAGAATGGGCCTATATTTGAAAATATTTGTTAAATTTCCCAGTGTTTTCTGGAATACCAGTGCTAGCTACACTTATGCTACTAATTCAACAAAGCGTGGGTATTATCCAGTTCTACAACCAATTGGAGCATCACTCCCTGGGTCACCTCCTATTGTACTCATGACTGTCACTGA